TCCGGGGAGACCGGATATAGTGAATGCAGAGTCCGAGGAGACCGGATATAGTGAATGCAGGGTCCGAGGAGACCGGATATAGTGAATGCAGGGTCCGAGGAGACCGGATATAGTGAATGCAGGGTCCGGGGAGACCGGATATAGTGAATGCAGGTTCCGGGAGACCGGATATAGTGAATGCAGGGTCCGGGGACCGGATATAGTGAATGCAGGGTCCGGGGAGACCGGATATAGTGAATGCAGGGTCCGGGGAGACCGGATATAGTGAATGCAGGGTCCGGGGAGACCGGATATAGTGAATGCAGGGTCCGGGGAGACCGGATATAGTGAATGCAGGGTCCGGGGAGACCGGATATAGTGAATGCAGGGTCCGGGGAGACCGGGATATAGTGAATGCAGGGTCCGGGGAGACCGGATATTGTGAAATGCAGGGTCCGGGGGAGACCGGATATAGTGAATGCAGGGTCCGGAGACCGGATATAGTGAATGCAGGGTCCGGGGAGACCGGATATAGTGAATGCAGGGTCCGGGGAGACCGGATATAGTGAATGCAGGGTCCGGGGAGACCGGATATAGTGAATGCAGGGTCCGGGGGGATCGGATATAGTGAATGCGGGGTCCTGGGTTTTGTAACACTTTAAGATGTATACTATAATCATTCAGTACTGAGAAAAATACAGAGGCCATCTTTGCTGACCTCCTCCTGAAAACATCAGCTTGTTACTTACTATACGTAAGTTCACTGCAGATTGTGTTTTGTTATACAAAGTATCAGTTATAGGAAAATGATCTCCAGCCGACTGCGGTCAGTTCTTCCATCTTCACCTGGTCTTCCTTCTGGGTTTCACGCTCTCCAGGCATTTGATTGGCCAGGTCGCAATGACATCACTCCCATGCATACATACAAGGGTCATGATCTCTCTGTGTGCATTCCCTGGTGATGTCACCAGCTGCTAAATTGTGAATGTCTTCTAAACGGCACATGTTTAGGAGATATTTATTGCACCTACAATGAAGCCTTTTTATAATCGTACTTGCAGATACAAGTGAAAACCAAACGTTATTATCGCGTTAAGATTTTTTTTTAAAGCCACTATAGTGTTCTTTTGAAAAGTGACAATGGCTGCTGATAGTTCTCCCCCCCCCCCAACAAAAAAGGCAATTATACTCACTGAGCCATGCTCTTTTACTGGTCTTGTCAGGGTTTTGTGATGGCATATCCATGTCTAAACGCCACCAACTTACATGGTTTCAAGGGAGCTTAGACAAGCTGGGATGCTGCGGTGGGTAGGCATTGAGGGAGTGTGGCTCTGTAGGGGTATTAAAACCAAAAATGTAAAATATTGCAGCTTACCGTTCATTAGATTTGGTAGCTGCATTAGTTTTCTTTTCTTTTCCCCTCTAATTTTATCTGGTGATCTAGCCAGTAACACACCTCCTGCATTAGAGCACCCCCACTGTGGATGAATGAGCTCCAGGGCACTTTTGGACAGCAGCATTGTTAATCTGCGGGGAATGTTAGACATACCAGCAGATTTAAATACAGTAACAACTTGAAGCCAAACTCCAGCTCACATTTTATAAGCCGTTTCAGCAGTTTTTTTTTCTTTTCCTTTTGGGATAAAGCTGTCCATTGTAAGCACCTGTCAGTAGTAAATGGCATGACGGGAGTGACTTTTGGGGGTGGGGGGGACCCCTGTATCATCTTTCCAAATCCCTCTTATGTCTAAGGCACCCTGTGCCTGTTAGGGGGTACAGGGTGAAATGTTCCAATATGGGTGTGGGGGTTGTCCATTGTTCACTGCCATGTGGTTGGTCCATTGTTCATTGTTCACTGCCATGTCCTGCATCCCATTGTTCTGTGTCTTGGTTTGGTGGGGGGTGTTTTCCTGCAGCCCTTCCCCCTGCTGGGAGGGCCTGATGATGTGTTTCCTGTTCCTGGTTGTATTTCCCCGCCCTGTGTATATATCTTGTGTTTGTGTAAAAATAAAGGAGTTAACTTCCTGTCTTAAGAGAGTCTGGTGCTGTCTTATTTCCTGCATGATCAGCGGTTGGGTCTATGGATGGTGTTCGGACAGGGAAGCTGGAGTATAACAGAAATACCCATGTGCGGTCTGGGTCCGGTTCCGTTACAAATGGTTTATCACAACACTCTAATTGCTACATCTGCACGATTGCTTGTTCTGCTGTAAAACAGATTTCTTGTCCAGATCACCAGGTCAAAAAGGATAGGATGCCTAAAAAAGAAAACAAATGCAGCCACCACATCTCAGAATTGGTAGGCTGCAATATAATAAATGTTTGCTTTTGGGTTTAACACCACTTTGAGGCCTGGAGGGGTGGACTGTATGCAGACACTGTCACCTTGCCGTGATTATGCCGTACACAATCAGCTGTACCCTTTTATCATCCAATCGTACAGTCTCATCTAGGTTTACCAATGTTATGTAGAGTGAGGACCTACCTTAACAATCAATTTCTTTGTATCCAGTCAAGCCCTTGCACTATTAAACTGTTAAATCTAGAAAAGATTGTACAATTAGATTGTAATGTGTATGGGTAGCTTTATACACATGCATGTGTATAAATGCATTCATGTATTTGTTTTTTTTAACCGCTTAAGGATTGCCTTATAGCAGATATACTGCTACAGGGCAACACCTGTGCACAGAATCACGTGTATATACATCATTTTGCATTTCCGGGTAGGGGGCGCGTGCGCCCTACCCGCGGATGTCAATCACCGGGTTCCGCCAGCACCCATTGATTACCGAGCATCTCTGACCTGTCAGCTCAAGCACACTGCTTGGGATGGCTGTGCACAGTACAGCCATCCCGATCAGTGTGCTTATAGTGATGAACACACCCCCTGCTCTCTAGTAAGACACTCCCAGCACACAGTTAACCCTTTGATCGCACCTCACATTAATCCCTTCCTGCCCAATACCATTAGTACAGTGTCGGTGCTTTTTTTTTTTTTTTTTTTTTTTAGCACTGATCACTGTATTGGAGTCACTGGGGTGTCAGTGACACCAAGTTATTTCCCTCCTAGTGTCAGAATGTCCACCGCAGGCCCACTAAAAGTCGCTGATCGCCGCCATTACTAGTAGAAAAAAAAAATCCCATTATCTATACTGCCATTTGTAAATGCTATAACTTTCATGTAAACCAATTAATTTACACGATTTGGGATTTTTTTTAGCAAAGACATGTAGAAGAATACATTTTGGCCTAAATTTATGATGGATTTTTAATTTTTTTACTGGACATGTTTAACCACTTGCCGACCGCGCATAGCCGAATGACGGCTTCACCGCGGCCGGCCAGTTCTGAGTGGACGTCATATGACGTCCTCCCAGAACGCGTTCTCCTGCGCGCCCCAGGGGCGCGCGCACCCGGCGATCTCCGTGATCGCTGTGTCCTACGGACACAGCTGATCACGAGATGTGGTGAAAGGCCGATCCCACCGGCCTTTTACCACGTGATCAGCGGTGTCCAATGACACGCTGATCACAGGAAAATGCAAGTGCCGGTTCTCGGCTGCGCTTTCCTCACGCTGTCAGATCGTGAGGAAAGTACTGCCGAGAACCGGCAGTTGTCAGAGCGGGGATCGGCACCGATCATCAGGGCACTGATGATCAGTGCCCTGATGATCGGTGCCCAGCAGTGACCCCCGCAAGTTCCGATCAGCTGTGCGCCCACTAGCCCCGCCCACCCATTCCCAGCAGTGCCCCCACCTGTGCCCAGCAGTGCCCCCACCTGTGCCACTCTGCAGTGCCACCTACCTGTGCCCAGCAGTGCCACCTACATGTGCCCAGCAGTGCCACCCACCTGTGCCCACCCACCTGTGCCCACCAGTGCCACCCACCTGTGCCCACCAGTGCCACCCACCTGTGCCCACCCACCAGTGCTGTCCACCAGTGCCACCCACCAGTGCTGCCAGTCAGTGCCACCAGTCAGTGCCCAGGGGTTGTGCCAGTCAGTGCCGCCAGTCAGTGCCCAGAAGTGATGCCAGTCAGTGCCGTCTATCAGTACCCATCATCAGTGTCACCTATCAGTGCCGCCTATCAGTGCTGCATATCAGTGCCACCTATCCGTGACCCCTAATTAGTGCTGTCTATCAGTGCCGCCTATCCGTGCCACCTCATTAGTACTGCCTATCAGTGCCCTTTAGTGCTGCCTATCAGTGCCCATCAGTGCCGCCTATCAGTGCCCATCAGTGCCGCCTATCAGTGCCCATCAGTGCCGCCTCATCAACGCAAATCAGTGAAGGAGAAAAAATACCTGTTTGAAAAATTTTATAAAAGAAACAAATAAACTTTTTTTTTTTTTTTTTCAAATTTTTTGCACTTTTTTTAATTTATAGCGCAAAAAGTAAAGCGCCCAGTGGCGATTAAATACCACCAAAAGAAAGCTCTATTTGTGAGAAAAAAATGATCAAAATTTCATATGGGTACAATGTTGCATGACCGCGCAATTGTCAATCAAAGTGCGGCAGCGCTGAAAGCTGAAAATTGGCCTGGTAAGGAAGGGGGTATAAGTGCCTGGTAGGCAAGTGGTTAATGGCAAAAAGTCCAAAATATTGGGGTTTTTTTTCCTCATAATTGTCGGTCTTTTTTTTGCTTCTAACAAAAATAAAAAGGGCACAGACGATCAAATACCACCGAAAGAAAGCTCAATTCGTGGGAAAAAAGGATGTAAATTTCATTTGGGTGCAGCATTGCATGACCGCGCAATTGTCAGTTAAAGTAATGCAGCACCGTAACGCAAAAAATGGCCTGGACATGAAGGGGGGGATCCTCAGGAGGGCAAGGGGTTACATTGCAGTTTGAAGTTATTTTGTGCACAGTTTGTTGTACCAAAAAGTATGTAAACCACATGTATACAGCGTACGTATGCGATGCTATTCTTCACTATGAAAACTAAAGTAAAGTGGCAGTAAGCAGAATTGTATTGGGTATCACACTAAAATGCATAAAACATCAGCTCTCTTGTTGCAGATGACGAAGACGATGTGCATAAATGTGGCCGCTGTCAGACAGAATTCACGAGCCTGGAAGAGTTTGTCCAGCACAAGGTACAAAAGGTGTGCCAGAAGGTGGTGGAGCAGTCCCTGGAGTCTTCCATATCAATCCTCAGCAGCCAGGAGGTACAAGTTATATCTTCTCATCCACATTTGATTGAATATTGGCTGGATGACTGATGAGAAGATTATTTCTTCAGTAGCTGTTTTTCTCTTTTGTTATTTTGTTTTCAATTAGGTATTTGTAAGTAAGGATTTTAGGAGTAGGCACTAAACTCATAATTATGACTTTATCCTCTTTGTGTGTAACAGCAGGTAGTTCCTTCCGTAGAAGATCCTGGGAGCATTTCCCACGTTGTTGTGGAGGCCTCATCAGAGGAGATCAGCACTGCGGACGATCAAGGTAATTCTGAAAATCTTGAAACTAGGGGTGCACTGAAATTTTGGCCACCAAAACATATCGGCCGAAATATTAGCTGAAAAATGTACCCGCTACAGAGGACTGTGTACTGCAAATGGGGTTGGCGGAGAAAGGCAGGAGAGGAGCAGTGTATACAGTGACTGGCTGTCACTATGGGATTTATTTACTAAAGCTGGAGAGTCCAAAATCAGACTCCCTTCTGCATAGAAACCAATCAGCTTCTAACCTCAGCTTATTCAATGAAGCTTTGGCAATGAAACCTGGAAGCTGATTGGTTTCTATGCAGAAGGGAGTCTGATTTTGGACTCTCCAGCTTTAGTAAATAAACCCCTATATGTCAGTGCTGGTTTTTAAATGTAATTGAGCTACGGTGAAGAAAAAAAAAAAAAAAAAGTTGGCAGAGAATGACCTGTCACTTTCCCCCCAGCTAAAAGAAGCAAAGTTTTTTTTTTTTTTTTTTTTTTTTTTTTTTTTTTTTTTTTTTTTCTCTGAGCTATAGTGAAGAGGAAAAAAAAAGCTGTCAATTGCATTTAAAAACCAGCACTGAGATATATTGACAGCCAGTGAGGGAACCTCTCTGTATACACTGCTCCTCTCCTGCCCCCTACTTGCACACACTGCCTCTCCACCCTACAAAGATGGCCTGTCCACTCATATGCTATCACATAAGGGACTATTGGTCCCCTATGTGATAGCAATAAAATAAAAAATTAAAAATAAAATCAGTAAAAAAAATTAATAAAAATATACATGAAAGTAGAAAAAAAAATTGGAGCTTCCCCACCCCCACATATGCAGACATTTTGGTTCAGTTTTCGGCCACATGCATTCGGAATTTTTTAGTATCGGTTTCGGCACATGAATTTTCATTTTTGTGCACCACTACTTGAAACGTGCTCTCCACCTCTTCTCTCCTGGTAAATAATGGGATATTTTGATGTACTTGTAGTGATCGAACTGATACTGGGAGCTTTCTGCCTTCTGAAGTTACCAACAGAGGTCACACGGCACAGTGGCTAAATGGTTAGGACTTCTGCCTGGCAGTACTAGGGTCGTTTGGTTTGAATCCCAACCACGGTACCACCTGCCTGGAGTTTGCATGTTCTCCTTGTGCCTGCATGGGTTTCCTCTGGGTACTAGTGTCCTCCCACATTCTGGTAGGTTAATTGGCTCCTGTCTAAATTGGCCCTAGTATGTGTATGTATGCAAGTTAGGGACCTTAGACTGTACACCCCTTGAGACTTAGGGACTGATGTGAATGTACAATATATATGTAAAGCGCTGCGTAAATTGACAGCGTTATATAAGTACCTGAAATAAATAAATAAAAGCACTCTCTAGAAGAAGACTGTTAATATTTGCCTGCCCTGCCACCCGTGCCTCCACTGTTTTGCAGAACTACGCCAACTGAAGAATCTTCAGCATCCAGCAGATATGCACATATGTGCTGGTTGCCTGCTTGGTTGTACTGTCCTTCCGCTATGTCACCACAGCTGCAGGAACATAGTAGTGACATAGCAGGCAGAGGGTGGAACCACAATGCTCAACAAGGGAACAGGTATTTAACACTCCCAGAAGTTATCTTCTAAAGATTATTCTGCCAATGCAGTGCAGTGTGTTGCAAAGTAGAGGGTCTAGTATATAGTCACCTGCACAGCCTAACACTGGATCTTGTAATCTATCGGCAACATAGTGGTTAGAAGGTCTGCCACCCAGCACTAGGGTCCTCAATTAAAATTCCAGCCAAGACACTATCCACATTGACCGATAGAGATCGTGATAGATATTATATATATATATATATATATATATATATATATATATATATATATATATATATAATATAATAGCTTTGAATAGCTTTGTGATGCATTGAAACACGCTGGTGTGACCTAGCCCTTAGCACCTTGAACCATCGCTTCAAATGACTTTAAACTCCCTATACAAGAACAGAAGAAAGCTTGGTGACATAAGTGGGGCTTGAATGTGGTAAAATCCACATAACTGACAAAAAAGAAGGCCGAATACTTTCTTTGCACTTCTTTTCCACATTGCTTTTTCTCAGCCTACAAGTACTGTTTAAGCCAACCCTATTGACTTCATGGTGCTTGGCGCTCCGTATGTGCTCATGTGATGTTTCCTGTCACCCAGCAGCCTCTGAAGAGGTAAAGGATTGTATCCCCACTGAGGAGACTGTTGATGGCGAGCAGAGAAGTGATACCCAGGAATATGATTTGGATTGGCATGAGAGCCCAGAGGAGGCCCCTTCGCAAGAGGAGACCTCGATGATGAAAATGGTTATGGATGAGAAAGGTCGCTATGTGTGCCAGTTGTGCGAGAAGACCTTTAAGACAGTATGTTGACATCCTGTCGTTCTGCTCGTATGGGTTCTGCATTATGTATTCGGGACTCCAAGTCTGATCTAATCTATTCTTCCTAGGCTAACATTCTGAAAGCACATATGCTCATCCATACCAACAGGAAGGACTTTGTTTGTAGAATGTGCGGGGATGCCTTCAGGACAAAGGGCTCCCTAATTAGACACCACCGACGGCACACAGGTAAGGGAAGACTTGTGATCAATTTTTTCATGGAGCAGCATTATCAAAAGAGTGAAAATGTCTAAAACGTATTATTCAGTAAAGTGATATTTCTCATATTTACATGTTCTTCTAGTGTAGATTTAAACAAAAGAGCAGCAAAGTGTATAACTAAACGCAAAACCTTTTTTATTTTTGAATAGATTGGTGAGGGGTTAGAAGTAGTCAAACTTTTATTGCAGTTAGCAATTGCAAAGCTTCTTTCCCTCTTCTTCCCAGTGATTAGTAATCAGGGCAATTAAAGTCTGTGGCCACAATTTGGGGATGGCCCTCTTCTGTTCCAGCCTGACTGTTCCCCTGTGCACAAAGCCAGCTCCATGAAGAAGTGATTTTGTTTGGAGGAACCCAAGTGGCCTTCACTGAGCCTTGACCAAAACCCGATCAAACACCATTTGTGAGCCAGGCTTTCCCATCCAACATCCGTACCTGACCCAACCGATGTTCTTTTGGCTGTATGGGTATTAATTCCCACAGAGACACTTCAAAATCTTGTGGAAATCCTTCCCAGAAGAATAGATGCTGCTATGGCTTTAAAGAGGGAGCCAGCTCCATATCAATCCCATGGTTTTCAAATAGGATGTCCCACAATTTTATATAGATTATAACAAACTTCATATAATGTTTTACTGTACTTTCTAAAGGGTGATTAGAATAAAAAGTGATGGTTTCTACTAAAGGTGGTTCTAGCACAGTGGTTCTCAACCTGTGGGTCGCAACCCCTTTGGGGGTCGAACGACCCTTTCACAGGGGTCCCCTAAGACCATCAGAAAACACATATTTCCGATGTGTAAAGAGCAGCTACTGTGTAGAAAGCAGCTGCTGTGTTGAAAGCAGCTACTGTGTTGAAAGCAGCTACTCTGTTAAAAGCAGCTACTGTGTTGAAAGCAGCAGTATTGGAGGTAAAAAAAACGACACTCATGAATTATGATTACTGGGTAAATAATTTTATGGTTGGGGGTCACCACAACATGAGGAACTGTATTAAAGGGTCGCGGCATTAGGAAGGTTGAGAACCACTGTTCTAGCAGAAAGTTCCCCAATAACAATTCTGCTTGTAATTGTTAAGATTGTTGAGAATGTTAATGGAGGGTTAACCAAATAGATTGGTGTTGGGGCACAGATGTGTTGGTGTCTGCGTGGTTTTTTTTTTTTTTTTTGTTTTTTTTTTTTTTTTCCACTGCCTCTAGAATTTTTTTAACCCCTGGACCTGTGGAAGGTTTCACCCCCCCTTCATTGACAGAGCATTTTTGCTATTCAGCTCTGCACTACTTTGGCAATTGCTCGGTCATGCAACACTGTACCAAAATTAAATTTATATAGTTTTTTTCACACAAGTAGAGCTTTCTTTTGGTGGTATTTAATCATTCCTTTTTTCTTTTTCTTTTTTTTAAAGCCATTCATGACAGGTTTGCTTACATGTTATCATGTGATTGCTGATTGTTCAGCTAAAAGGGTTGCTGTGTGGAATCCTATAGTTCCTATATGCTTCTCTGGGATACAGGTTCATTTGGCAGCACAGAGAAGACAAGTGTGGTTCTTAAGATATATAATAGAATTATTTATTTTATTTTCTCTGTGCTTGTTTACCAGATGAGAGGCCCTATGTTTGCTCTAAGTGTGGCAAGAGTTTCCGTGAATCTGGGGCATTATCACGGCACATGAGGTCTCTCACACTCCCTGCACTGAGAAGATGATGATCAACATGGAGAAAACCTATATGAACAGCCGGGATGAGAACTCGTCAGGTGGGTCCACAGAGCACTTTGGTATGTTTGTGTATAGAGGCTGACAGAAGCAGGTGGAAGACACTTAATATCTTTTACTAGGTTGTTTTGTTTTTCACAGAGTTGTGATTTTTTTTTTTTTCCCTTTCCACTAGACCTTTTATTTAAACTTAAACCTCTTTATAAATAGGCATCTGTTGATATATCTTCTAATGAGTACATAAAGTGCTTTGCCCATACAACTTGCACTGGAAATTGACAGCAGTAGAATTGTATTTATTTATTTTAATGCTGTTTTGTGGGGAAATGGACTGCGAACCTTTTATTCTCTTAACCTCTTGACACTGGCTGTACGCATATATGTGGCCGTTTGGTGGGTGGGCCTTAACGCAGAATGGCTGCATATATGCCGCCCTGTTAAAGCAACTTACCGTGCTGAGAGTGCGCTCCCAGCACGGTAGCTGGCAGGGATTGGTAAGCTCCTGATTCATACTCCCAGTCAGGAGCTTTCCAATCATGTGACAGCCAATCAAAGGTGTCACATGGCCCAAATGCCTGCCTCCGGGATATGGACATAAATAGGATCACCAATCATCATTGGAAAAATTCAAAGTCATTGGCTACAAATACTGTAATTGCTCTCTTTGGAAAAACAGTACTCGCTTGTCCAGGGATCCAGCACTGTCAACACCCAGGCTGGTTTTTTTGTCTGCCTTTGGGTCCTAAGTGCCGCCATCTTGAGTGTGGGAAGGTGGCTGTGTCTTTTTGCCGGTTCAAAGCTGGCTCCCCACTGTGCTTTATGAATGGTCCTGCAATTTCCTGTGACCTGTGATGTGTCCCAGGAGGTTGCGGCCAGGGATTGCAGTGAGGGGGTGTGAAGTGGAAGGCAAGCAGGGCCTAGGCGAGCAGGGCAGAAGTGGAAGAAATAGGTACCTGCTCCCTGGGGGAAAAAAAACCACACATAAAAACAGTTTACATTAATGGCAGAGGAAAGGGGGGGGGGGGGGGGGGAGGAGGAGGACCAGTGGAACTTCCTATTGTAAGTATAGTTCCACTTTAAAGCAGTGTTTTATTTCTTAAGTTTCCCAATACTTTGCTTTATTCAGATTTTGCATCTACAGACACTTCATCCCAGACGGGGACAGATGAGGTAAATGATTCGCCAGTGATGCGATTATTAGCAGATGAGAAGGGCAACCTACTGCACGAGGTCCAGGTGCAAGCAGTGACTGTTAAACCTCGGGTGAGTATGGATTTTGCTGCAAACTGCGGGTTCTGGGCGTTGAAAATGCATGGATGTGCAGTGAGGTAATATGTTTAGAATCCTTCCACATCCATGCTCAGGTATTGTTCTTTAACAGCATTGGTTCTTAATTTGTTGCATTAACCACTTGCCCTCCAGTATATTTACCCCCCTTCATGACCAGGCCATTTTTTGGTGTTAGGCACTGCGCTATTTCAACTGGTAATTGTGCGGTTGTGCATTGCTGTACCCAAATTCAATTTATGTCCTTTTTTTTACACAAATAGAGCTTTCTTTTGGTGGTGTTTGATCACCTCTGCGGTTTTTACTTTTTTGCGCTATAAACAAAAAAAAAGACCTCACAACTTTGGAAAAACCCCCAATATTTTTCACTGTCGGTTATAGAAAATATGCAATAGACTCAAAATTAGTCATAAATTTAGGCTAAATTATATTCTGCTACATGTCTTTGGTAAAAAAAAAAAATCTTAATACATGTATATTAATTGGTCTTTGTGAAAGTTATAGCGTCTGCAAACTATGGTATACATATTGGTAATTATGTAGCTTTTACTTTCTGACTGCCTATCGCATTTCTTGAGGCACAAAAATGCCAGGGCAGTACAAACCCACTCCCACCCCCCAAAATGACTCCTTTTTGGAAAGTAGACACCCCCCAAGGATTTTGCAGAGACACATATTGAGTCCATGTAAATTTTTATTTTTTGCCACAAATTTTTTGAAAACTACAATTTTTTTTTTTTTTTTTTTTTTTTTTTTTACACTGTCCCTTTTTTCTCTTTTTTTAAAATTACTTTTATTGCTATCACAGGGAATGTAAATATCCCCTCTGACTGCAATAGGCATTGACAGGTATTCTTTTTTGAGAAATCTGGGGTCTATTAGACTCTAGATATCTTCTCTGCCCTTACATCATCTGATCTCACCAAGATCGGTGTGATCAGATGCTTTCCCCAATTTACAAATGGCGCTGTTGATATCCAGCGAAACTGAAGTGATGAAATGCTTGTAGCTTCCAATTTCTTAGACTATAGAGATGATTGGAGCCATTCTGGTCTCTGACCAGCTCTATGGTCAGCCAGTGGATCTTCCGGCTGCATTCTCGGATTCCCCTGTGGCTCAGGAGAGCTCAAGAAAATTGTGGAAGGCAGCAGGAGGGGAAGAGGAATGTCCCTTCCCTCTGCTTGTAAAAACAATTCGGCAGCTAATTGGCCACTAGGATTGCTTTGAAATGAAAGCTGACCGGCAGCTGAAAAAAAAATACCAGGATGATGCCTGTAGCTGCAGGCATCATCCCGGAATAACCACTCAAAGTCCAGTGACGTACATGGTCCATGTTGGGCATATATGTAACAGCAGGGAACATGGGCAAATGATGAATCGGGTCTGTGGACCAATATGACCGCAATTAATTTTTTTTTTTTTTTTTAAATGCCCATGTTGAGGGTTAGGCCCAAAAGAGTTTTTTAAAATCAGAAACTGTGATAGGTTTCCATGCAAATTGTCTGGCAGGAGCTGAATTTGGGTGGGCAGCGATGTATTGTTGTGCATATAAATTGCCTTGGCCCACTATCAATTGGTACCAATCTTCTGTGAAAAACAGTGGAGGAGCTAAACACTGAGGCTGGCAGCGAACGGGGCTGATCCTGCTAACACTGAGTTTTTGGGGACACTATACTAAACCGGCACTAGTATAGTTCTGTCCATGATCAATATCTTGATCCGTGCAAACACTATACTAGTAATGGGGGTGATCAGCAACCTATAAGGTGAGTGCGATAGTGTGCGGGCAATCTAACGATAGCTGACCCTGGCTGGGAGGGGCGCTTACTGACCCTGATGTTATGTGATGTTGCTAGTGGCAGGAATACAGTGATCAGTGAAAAATTCTATATACTGACACTGTAATAATGGTACTGGCTGGATGACTGGGCAATAAAAGGGTTAATGGGGGCAATCAAAAGGGTAAACGTGCTAATCTAACGTGTGTGTAAAAATGTAGTGGTGCTTTTACTCAGTGCTGTATTCTCTTGTCTCTCTCTGGACTGACTGGGGGGGGGGGGGGGCAGATGCGTTCACACTCCAAAAAAGGAAGCGACGCAAGATTACTTCGCTTTGCCAAGAGCTGCTGCTCACCTGCAAAATGCAGGTAAGTGGTTGGCAAGTAGTTTAAATAAAAAAAAAGAAGAAAATTAAAAAAAAAAAAAATTCTCAATATGGTATTTTTTTTTTTATATTTTTTTAAAAGTTTTATTATTTTTTTTTTAATACTTTATCAGACTAGTACAACATTACCATAGCAACATTGTACGTGTGTGTGTGTTTTATCAGGGATTTTTTTTTTATGTTTTGCAGGAGAAATAAAGATCATTTCTCCTGCAATGCAAAGCTTGCTGTCATGAACCTAACTCATTCATAAACTGTCATGAATGGGTTAGGTTTTTGACAGCTCAAGATAGTGATCTGCGATTGGCTGGAGCTGGTCACATGGTACAGGGTGCTTTGATTGGCCCCATGTATCATGTGACAGCTGTGGGCCAATCACAGCTCACTAGGAAGAGGAGCAGCGCTGTTATGAATGAGATTGATTCATAGCAGCTTTGATTACATTGTGTTCATGTGATCACATAGCGATCACATGATCACCAGGTCCTGTTCACCAGGATCTGCATTCTGCTGTGTCTGCTGGAGCGGGTAAGTCGCTTTGCCTGTAGCTGTTGCCCGGCCGGGCGGGCTGGAAGCGGTTAAAGCAGCAGTACAAAACACAGTAGATCCTGTCTTTAAAGAGGAACTTCACCCCCTCACTTTGTTTTTTCTTTTCACTCTTACCTGTTTTGTTGGTATATCCCAAATAAATATAGTTGCACCTATTGCTCAGCTCCTGGGATTTGTCCATCCCTGCTGGAGAGGACTAAAATCCCCACTGACTTCTAATTGTATCCTTTTAATAGACAGATATCATAGTGGGCAACACAGAAGAATTGGTGTGTCCTCAGTGCGGTGAAATCTGCAAGACTAGCAACTCCTTGAAAGTACACCTGAAGGGTCATGAAGGTAACCTATGCACCTCAAACCTTTTTTCACGCTCATCTGACTCTCTAAACAAGAGCCCTTGTGTAAGTAATGCTGAAATCCAGGCAGATAAAACAAAAAAACAATAAATGCAATGGTGCATTAATACATCAATACACAGAAAGCTGTGTAGGTCCTTGGATTTGTGCCATCTATCTGCCTCTTACAATCCAGTATACAGCATCACTTAGACTGAGAGAGGGATACGCAGCTCAATGAACTAGTCCACTGTGCTGCAATGCTTATGTGCTAACATAGAACATGCTGAAAGGAAGAGAGAGCAGAGTGAGAGATGAGCTCTGTAGTCAGCTGCTTTCCTCTGCCCACTCACAGACTGACAATGTTCATTGCATCAGAGTAATATCAAGTCTCCTCCTCTGCTAGTCAGGGCTGAGCTGTATGGTGGACTTGTGTAAATCTCAGGACTGGATGGGCAGAAATAGAACAACTTTGGCTCCCATATATGTAATTCATCTGTGTGTTTTTCTTGAGTTAAACCTTTAAAATCAAAATATTCTTTGTAATATTTTAAGGCCTGTCCCTCAACTCAGAACATGGGAAAAAAAAATGCTTGGAAAGAGAAGGCAGGCCATAGACTGTTTACGCGGATTTTCCAGCATGACCGATAAAAATAAATGAGGAGATCTGCAAAAAACGGCCGACGGGCTGGCCCCACTAACGGCGTGATTATCGGCCGAAATTTGATGCGGACGAAAATTCGGCCGATAAACGACCCGTCTATGGCCTGCATTAGTTTAAATGTAAAGCCTCATGTTTATATTATGCTTCCATTACGTATTTTGGTAAAGTCTAGTTTTTGGCTTTTCCTGTTTGTTTACTTTGTGATGACTTCCCTCACTTCTTCAGTACACACTTCTGGCTTTGGAGGGGTGTTGCAGGCGCACCTACATGTCAACTTCATGTGCAAAGTCGGACCTCCACCTCTCGTGATCACTTGTAGGTGTATGTATGGGGGGTGTCTTTCGGCAGATTTGGAAGCCGTTGATGTTTTTTGCCCCAGCACCTACTATCAGCCATCACTGCAGAGAGGTGGGCCTAGGCAGCGAAGCACGGTCCAGACTTTGGGGGGGGGTTCCATGATAACATTGGTGGCATGCGATATTGTTGGGTGTGTCAATACTTGCAGTTGGGTATGTTATAATATCTGGATGCAAGGCAATTGCTGTGGGAAATTTCGAAAGCATGTCTGAGCTTTGTCACACGTCCAGAGGAAATGCCTTAACTGTCTTTCTGGTGCGATCAACCCTTTACATTCGTGGTGAAATTGGCAGCATTTTTAAAATACAGATTGTTGATGTGTCGTGCAGATCGATAGACTTTAATGTACTTAAATTCTAGTGATTACCGTGTTCCAAACAATGCTGAGATGCCAATATTGATTTTTGGGCAGGTTGTAAACTGTACCGTTGCGATCAGTGCGGCCGGGAGTTCTTGAAGGCTCACCTGCTCAGGAAGCACCAGGAATCACACGCCAATAACCGTAAATACAAGTGTGGCGAGTGCGGGAAGATGTACAAGACAGTCGCTCATGTAAAAGGTCACATGAGAGTGCACTCTGATGACAGGCCGTTCCCCTGTCCAAAGTGTGGGAAGAGGTATAAAACAAAGGTGAGTGTGGGGCTGGGGTAACACTGCTTTTGTGAGAGCTGTTGTAGGATGCACTGTGCATGAGTTGTCTGCTACAAATAGGTTAGTGGGGAAACTGTCTTTTAGGACCATAAAATAGCACGGTCAGATGGCGGGGGGGAGGGCTTTGGTGCATGATAGCTGATTTTTTTTTCCGGCCGTAGGATTTTGTTGTTGTTCATCCGGTTCTGAGGCTTACACATCTCTTTTTACACTGCTGGAAGGACAGAAGACCTGAATTTTCTTTCATGTGGGTTGGTAACATCTATAGGTCTTGTACCTCTCTCAGCCTGTGACTGGACAGTGAAAGGAGAAGCAGCATTCTTATGAGCTTATTTCTCTGCTCTCTCCTCCTATCAGCGTGTGTTTTGTTGGCATATGAGCACCATGGCACAGCACACATGTAATAATAAATGAATAGATATAGAGCTGCATTCATTTGTGTAATTTTATGTTTGCCTGGAGTTGAGCTTTAATCACTTTACAACTGCGCTATAGCCGAATGACCGCTACAGCGCGGCTGTCCAGTTCTGGGAGGGCATCATATGACATCCTTCCAGAATACGACCTCCCGTGAGCCCCCAGCGGCGCGAACTTAGCACTGTCCGTGATCGCTGTGTACTATGGACACAACTGATCACATGATGAGGTAAAAGGCCAATCACAGTGGCCTTTTACCATGTGATCAGCTGTGTCCAATGACGCAGCAGATCACCAAGTAAACACAGTTGCCAGTTATCGGCAGCACTTTCCTCACTCTGTAACAGCGTGAGGAAAATACTATCAATAATCGACAAATGTCACAGAGGACATCAGTACTGATCAGTGTTCTGGTGATCAGCGCCACCCATCAGTGCCCATCATTGCTGCCTATCAGTGCAGCCTATCCGTGCCACCTCATCAGTGCCTATCAGTGCAGTCTCATCAATGCATATCAGTGAAGGAAGAAAATTACCTGTTTGCAAAATTTTATAATCGAAACAAAGAAAAACCTCCGCCCCCCCCCCCCCCCCAAGTTTTTTTTTGCTCTTTCTTTGTTTATAGTGCAAAAAATAAAACACCCAGTGGCGATTAAATACCACCAAAAGAAAGCTCTATTTCTTTGAAAAAAATTATAAAAATTCCATATGGGTACAATGTTGCATGACCGCTCAATTGTTATTCAAAGTGTGAGAGAGCTAAAAGCTGAAAATTGACCTGGGCAGGAAGGGGGGAAAAGTGCCCAGTAGGCAAGTGGTTAAGTATATTTTAGATAATAAAGAATGTACAAGACGTATGTAACAAATAAAAAGATTCAATTTGTGGAATTAATAGAAACCTGTTTTGCCTCACAAGCATTTGTCTTCTTTAATCCAGAATGCTCAGCAAGTGCATTACCGCACCCACTTTGCAGACAGGCCGTTTGTTTGTCCATACTGCCCTAACAGCTTCCGAGAGAAAGGTTCCCTGGTGCGGCACATAAGGCACCACACGGGAGAAAAGCCTTACAAGTGTCACAAGTGCGGCAGAGCGTTTGCAGAGCATGGAACGCTAAACCGCCATATGAAAACCAAAGGTAAATTGGCTCATTGCCTACAGCAGCCTAGGCTGAGTGGGTCTGTACAGGACATGGGAGTATTGCATATAACCAATGTAGTTTTATTGATCCAATTTTAAAGATTTGAGACTTTTGAAACCTAATTTCTTTGATGCACGTTACAACACTAATATAACTGAGCGGAAATGTCCGTTTCCATCCGACTGCCCATTTAGGATAGCGAGCAGCTCTGGGCCTGCTCTGCAGCAGTGGAGTGGACACAGACCTGTCACCCGTTTGCTCAGCGGGGATCAGCGGAGAGATCACCCGCTGAGCAAGCGGATCCACTAAACGGGTCCGCGCCGTGTGAAAGGATTCTTAAATGCATGTATATCATTGCCTGTGTGAATGAAGCCTAATCCTTGACATAACCCACAATTAACACCCCTCACCCCACCTTTTTACTATCCCTGTACCAGGGCAGAGTCTTGTGTAATGTGTTCTTCTTCTCCTTGAGCAGAAACCATCCCTGGTATTGGTTGTGCCTGCACACTGAGGCCTCATGAATTTGGGGTGGGAAGGAGTTCAGTATTTATTTTTGTTATAACTTTCCCTTTATTAATTTTTTACATTAAAAGAAAGAAGAAAGAGACATAAAATGTCAAGATACAGCAAATCAAAAATCCAAAAAAAGAATTATAGTAGTACATGCATTATGGTAGTACATGGTACACAACATTGAGCCAAGAGATATTCAGTAAAGATGACCAATAACAGTCCAGCAAAGAAATTCAGCATTGTCTGCTATGCAAAGAGATACAAAACAGCATGTCCATACTGACACACAGATCTCTTCCCTGTCAGCTTTGCTCAACGATCGCCGAGTACCAGCCGGGACTCTCCGGCCGGAACCAAGTGATTGACATCCCTAGCCACTAATAGCAGTGCTTGCTCCCTACCCGGAAATTCCAATCACGTGTGTGTATGTATGCGTGATTTTGTGCAGCCCTGTCGCCCTGTAGCAATACTTCTGCTATAGGACGGCAGGAAAGTGGTTAAAAGGAGTTTTCGAATTGAAGTGAATGGGAGGATGTTTTCGAATTGAAGTTAGTGGGAGACAATTTTGCATTGAAGTCGGTGGGAGGCTGTTATGGAGAGAGAGTCAGCACAGTCGCACAGAAACAATGGTATTCACAAAGAAGCATTGCGATTTCAGCACACGCATGTATTTGAAACCAGGTTAAAGAGGCTGCTAGCCCTCAGCAGGGCTAAATGTAAAAAAACCCCACCTGCTCAGTTCCAGGCGTTGGACAATATGATTTGCGCTTCCTTGGATTTCAGGCATATATCAATATGAATATAAATCCAAGAACTAAGAATAAATGGATAGAAAAAACATCTTGTGTAAAGATGTACAAGTATATAATAGACTGAAAAGCCTATTGTAGCGTAAAATGTACAACTGCTTCGTATATGTAAAAACAGAAAGAGAGAGGAAAATGAGGAGTATAGAAAAGAATCAGGGAGGGGTGAGATGCAAGACCCACCCTACTGGACAGGTGCACATAACCCCCGACAGACAGGATGTCAAGAGCATAGGATTATTGATGTGGACGTGGTTCTAAAAGGTTCCAGGGGTGCCAGATCTTGTTAAGCCAAGTAATTTTAATATGAAGAAGAGCCGTCTGGTATTCCATATTGTAAATGTCATGGATCTGTTTATAGAGATCGATTCGGGATGGTGGTAGCTGTTGTTTCCATTTCAATGCTATCCAACATCTAGCGGCTGTCAAGACATGATTAATCTATTTTTTTGGCCGATATTGCCATATTTGTTAAAAGGAGCCCCAACAAGAAATGAACTGGATGTAGTTCCAGTGTTTAGGATGGGCCAGGGGCGGACTGACAACTCATGTGGCCCCCAGGCAATAGGGGATCATGGGGCCCCTGTGTCCTTGCCCAAATTCAAAAAAGGCTATGAAAAAGGTACTGGGGCATCTCATGGGGCCCCATACTGACCCCGGGCCCTCGGACAGTGCCCGAGTTTCCAAATGGTCAGTTTGCCCCTGGGATGGGCCCATCTATAGGGTATCTGTATAAGACTTGTGGGAAGAGGATTTTTGCACAGGATGTGGTGTTAATACTAGGTAACTAAGAAGCTGGGACAGGGCCAGGATAGTCCAAGGGGTGTGGGGAGGAGGTTGGAGGATTTGAGTATTTACAGTAGGTAAAAAAAAGAATCGCCCCCCCCCTTTAAAAAAAAAAAAAAAAATAATACACATTTTGTTGCTTTGCAGACTGAAATGCTGAAATGAAGACAGACACAGTTTTTGTTTTATCCAGATGTATATACTTATAACCTCCAAGTGAAAGATATAACACCGGCATGTCAGAAAAAAAAAATAAAAACAATCAAAAACAGAATCACTGAGTTGGAAAGAAAACAGAATCACTGAGTTGGAAAAAGGATCACCCCCTGGTGTCAGTATTTTGTTGAACCACCTTTTGCTTTAATTCCAGCCTTTAGTCTGTTGGGATGTCTCTACTAACTTTTCACATCTAGACTTTGCAATATTTGCCCGCTCTTCTTTGCAGAATTGCTCGAGTTCAGTTAGATTTGATGGTGACCGTTTGTGGACTGCAGTCAAGTCATTCCACAGATTTTCAATGGGGTTGAAGTCTGGGCTCTGACTAGGCCATGCAAGGACATTCACCTTTTTCATCCACTAGGGGGTCATTGTTGCTGTGTGCTTTAGGTCATTATCATGTTGGAAGGTAAACCTTCTTCCCATTGACAACTTTCTGGCAGAAGGAAGCAGATTTTCCCCAAGAATTTTATGGTATTTTGCCCAATCCATTTTTTTTTATCCTGAGAAGCGCTCCAGTCCTTGTTTCAGAGAACTCCCCATACCAGGATATTCCCACCTCCATGGTGTACTGTAAGAATGGGGAGCTGGATTGGATTTCCTCCAGACATATTGTTTAGTGTTGAGGCCAAATCATTAAATTTTAGCCTCATCTGACCAGAACACTTTTTTTCCATGCGGCCTCAGAATCTTCAAGGTGCGATTTGGAAAAGCTCAGTGGTGACTGCATTTCTTGCAACCCTCCCATACAAGCCACATTTGTGGAGAATTTGTGATATTGTTGTCACACGCACACAATGACCACTTTGTCATCAATTCCTGCAATTGATTCAGAGTTGCTGTAGGCCTCTTTGTAGCCTCTCTGACCAGTTTCCTCCTGGCTCTCTCATCCAGTTTGGAGCAATGTTCTGACCACGGGAGGGTCTGTGTTTGTACCAAATACCTTCCACTTCTTAATAATAGACTTCACTCTGCTTCTAGGCATTGATAAAGCCTTTGAAATTTTTTTTGTACTCATCTCCTGACTTGTGCCTGTCCACAACTTTATCCCAGAGATCTTTTGACAGTGCTTTCCACCCATAGTTGATTGTTTGCTTCAGTTGCACTGCCAGGGACTGAAATTTTCCAGGAAAGCTCTACTCATGCTGAGCTAATCACACTGATCACAGTTGAAAGTCAAATGGCTTTGTGTGCCACTGAGAAGGTGAGTCATTTTTAGGAGGGGGTGATCTTTTTCCAACTCAATAATTCTGTGTTTGATTTCTTTTCTGACACATTGGTGTTATATCTTTCACTTGGCCCTCTTTTTTTTTTTTTTTAAGCTCTGGCACATGCCATTGCCTGTAATTTTCTGTTTTTATTACTTTTAGGTGGCTGTGCAGCACATCTACAAAACTTGGCAGGTTGCGGCAGTAAATCCGTGGCTGAAGACATCCTCTCTGAGGAGCCGCACACAGTGCTGGTCGAGTTCTCTTCAGTGGTTGCTGACACTCAGGAATATATTATTGAGGTAACTGTCTATCATATAAGATGGGACACACTGGAATGCTGTTTATGACGGTTGGGGAATTCTTGTCAAACGGCACATGAGAGCACAGCAACGGTTTAATGTTTTCAGGGGTTCAGGATATGCTGAAGCAGCATCTAGGATGGTCCAGCAGCTTTAGCCACCTGTAGGTATAGTCCTGACTACAGAGCACCAGTTTCATGTTTTCCACAGCAATAGATTATGGAAAATAATACACTGGCAGCTACACTACATTTTGCATCTTTGCTTGAGCTAATGTTGCAGCCCTTTTGAGAACTGGGTCTTCATCACTGTGATGGCCATTTCAAGAAGCTAGTGGATGGGTAGGCAAACTCTGACCAGTGGGGAAAGTCTGTGGGTGTGCACAGGAACCAAGGGTACTCACTTTTCTTTTTTTTATTTTTTTATTTAACAGTACAGTTAGGGGCGAATCTACTGTGAGGCAAGCAAGGGTTTTGCCTAGGGCGGGAATGCCCCCCCGAAGAAGGGACCTTGTGAGCAGCAGCGGACAGAGCCATGCAGGGCCGGCATCAGAGGCGTGCCACTGGTACTCCTGTAGGTGGCCCAGACAGCAGGAGGATCAGTGTGGTGGGGGAGAGCAATTGTAGAAGGATGCACTGTGTACCTCTCCCTCCAGCAGCTGATAGCCGGTTTGAGGTTTCTCACCCTCTCCCTCCCACCGGCTTTCTGCTGCTGGAGGATGAGACAGACCTGGCCGGATGGAAGGGGTGCACTGGTGTTCCTGAGTGGCCGCTCTCTGCTGAGCTCCTTCCCGACGCCCGCACTCAGAGCTGGGACCAGGGGGACAGCCTGCAACAGGGAAAGGAGAAGTGGCGGAGAGGAAAGAGCCCGGAGGAGGTGAGCTGTGTTGTGTTCTCTGGGCTCTCCCTCCTGTCATCCATCCAGCATATGATACACTGATAGATCGTATGGGGAACACACACACACACACACACACACACACACCCACACACACACACACACACACACACACACACACACACACACACACACACACACACACACACACACACACACACACACACACACACACACACACACACACACACACACACACACACACACACACACACACACACACACACACACACACACACACACACACACACACACACACACACACACACTATGATTACCACCCCCTGCCCATATTTCCTGCTGATTGGAGATCATCAGCACTTGAAAGAGGTGGGGGGTAAGTGTGTGTGTATGTGTGTGTGTGTACGATCTGAGAGAGAGAGAAACGCACACAATTTTTGTGTTGGCTAGGGCAGCACAAAACCTGAGTACAGTATAGCAAAGGCTTCTTTTAAAGAACACCGTAATTGCAGTTCTGTTTTTGTCTTGATTCATATAGGCGACCTCTGAAGATTTAGAGGCCAGTGAGGCTGCTGAGTTACTGCAGAGCACAGGAGCACACGAGGTGAGTTGTATGCAAAATTTACATTGAAAATGATGAATCTGCTAACTTTTTGCTACCAGCTTAGATATCAACCTTTCCCAAGGCAGTAAGTAGATTAAAAAAGACAAAAGCAGGACCTGTCTTCAAATATTTTCAATCGCAGCATCCCCCTTTCCTTTCTTTTTTTCTTCACTGTTCAAAAAAGCACTCATGCACATTTTGAAGCTGAACCCAAGGCAAATGTAAGATATAAATTCATGAAGCTCTGTATTTCCAATACATCATCAAATGCGTTATTAAAAAGTAACTCCACTTTTGTTGAGAAAAAAAAAAATACACAATATAAAATACACAAAATGTACATTGCAAGGATTTAACAAACTTTATTGCGGATTCCTACCTTTTGTTATTCTAAAGAATTATTGGTTTGATCTGCAAGATCTGCATCCCTTTAGACATGATTTCCCTTTGGGAGTATCTCACCAAAAATGACATTTTTGTTGCAGGGGATGCCTAAAATCTGACTTTTATCTTGATAGGAAATGACGTGTGCGGGTGTTCTGTACACCATCTGTGTACAGGACACCTCCAGGTAGCCATATTACCTTTTACAGAAAATTACAGCACTACAGAATGAAAAGGAAAGGTCATTTTAAAAAACATTCAATTACAATGACTTGTATCACAATTGTATATGCTATATTTAATTTTTTTTTTTTAATTATGGCTTTTCTTTTCTTTTTTTTTTTCCACACTAAAGTGGAATTACCCTTTAGTCAGTGTAAGTAGTGGAATTTGACTTATCAGTCTCTTGCAATTTACTGTACAGCAGAGCTCGGACTGGGAAGTCTGGAAAGGAAAATATGCAATCAGTTGTGCGGCCTGTGCTAACAAGGAGCATGCTGATGGGAAGAGAGAGCAGACTGATGCCTCATTCACACCATGGTGCAGAGACGTCAGGGTTTCTGCACTCGTTCTGCAAGGTCACAACAAAATCAATTGTTCTCTGTGTTCCTGTTCACATCACAAAACTAGTATTGCGTGCGGATTTTCTGCGCAGGAATCTGCAACATGTATAAAACATTGAAGCTCGCATGTGAAAACTGATGTCTTCGCAAGTGAAATCTGCATGTCGGTTTTCATCCGTTTTTGTGCATGAATGGTGTGACTGAGGCCTGACAGATGAGATTATCAGTCTACTGCTTGTCCTTTCACTGTCCAGTCACAGGCTGTGGTAGGGACAAGACCTGCAAGTGTTATTAAACTGCAGCAGAGAAAAAATCAGATTTCCTGCCCTTCAGGGCCTGTACTGTGTGGCAAAGATATGTATACCTAAGAACTGAATGGCCAGAAATACAAATCCTTTGGCTTGTAAAACTGCTCCCATATATTATTATATTACAGGATTTATATATTATTATTATACAGGATTTATATATTATTATATTACAGGATTTATATATTATTATATTACAGGATTTATATATTATTATATTACAGGATTTATATATTATTATATTACAGGATTTATATATTATTATATATACAGGATTTATAATTTATTATTATTATTATAATACAGGATTTATATATTATTATTATTATTATACAGGATTTATATATTATTATTATTATACAGGATTTATTATTCTTATTATACAGGATTTATATTATTATTATTATACAGGATTTATATATTCTTATTATACAGGATTTATATTATTATTATTATACAGGATTTATATATTCTTATTATACAGGATTTATATTATTATTATACAGGATTTATATATTATTATTATACAGGATTTATATTATTATTATTATACAGGATTTATATATTATTATTATACAGGATTTATATATATTATTATTATACAGGATTTATATATTATTATTATTATTATTATTATACAGGATTTATATATTATTATTATTATACAGGATTTATATATTATTATTATACAGGATTTATATATTATTATTATACAGGGTTTATTTATATTATACAGGATTTATATATTATTATTATTATACAGGATTTATATAGCGCAAACGTTTGCGCCGCACTTTACAATATAACGGGAGACAATACAATTACAATACATTTCAGTACAGAAGGAATATGAGGGCTCTGCTCGTGGAGCTTACAATCTAAATATATGTATTTAGATGTTTGCATGATGTAGAAATGATTTTCCATAGAGGGTGTTGGTGCCATAATTCCTAAAAGTAATTTAAAAAAGCTGGGGGAATTTTTTTCCAGCTGATGTCATCTACAGTTAGTGTTACTAAACCCACAGCAGTACAATCAGTCTGTATATGCAGTTAAGCATGCTTGTTATACTCACTGTGGAACCTAAGGGGTTAATCCTTGGCATTGTGTAAAAAGGTTGGTTGATCCTGACTTCTCTGATCCTCCCCTTCCACAGTCCTCAATCCATCTGCTGATAGAACAGAGCCTTGGGGGTAAGCTGCACATGCTCAGTTTGGTGTATATTGCTAGAGTGTTTTTTTTTTTTTTTTCTTGGGAGTGCATGTCATCAGCACAGGGCCAATCAGCACTATCCAGACAGAGGGTCAGGGGTTATGAAGCCTCATAGGACATGACAATCGATAGGGCATAGGGCCCTAGTATAGACAGTCAGGGAAGAATGAAAATGCCTCCTTCAAGCTTTAATCAGTGCTCTGCTGGACACTGATAGAAGTCACAAGACTGCTATATACTGCTGAAGAGAAAAGGTATTTATCAGTTTATATTTACTAAAATAATTGCATTTCCATGTTGTGTGTACTGTGGGAGACCAGATATAGTGTATGCAGGGTCACGGGTTTAGTAACAATCTAAAATGAAGAATATTCTGTTTTGACAGGTCAACAGCCATATATTGAAGGTGGTCCAACAAATAGTGAGCACAGCCAGTCCTGGCCAGCAGATTATCGTACAGAATGTAACACTGGATGACAGCACTGAGCCCTGTATAGAGGAGGTCCCCACTACAGACACTATTACTATAGCAACTCCAGAATCTCTGACTGAGCAAGTGGCCCTGACTTTGGCCTCAGCCGTTGGAAACGGGACAGTGATAACAAGTGAAGCCACTGCCAGTGAGGAGATTATTGTGCCTGAGGAAGTGGTGGTGCCGGAGGAAGTGGTAATACCTGAGGAACTGGCGGTGCCGGAGGAAGTGGTAATACCTGAGGAACTGGCGGTGCCGGAGGAAGTGGTGGCACAAGAAGATGTGGAAATGGTGGAGCAAGTCGGAGAGAAGAATTTGTCATCACCACCATACACGAAGAGGAGGTGGAGGTCCAGACTGTGATTGTGTAGCGCATTGCTGCTTTCTATGCTGCAAAGAAACAGGGAGCAAAATACTGTGCACTTGTCCGCTGTGACCAGCAGCGGAGAGTATACAATTTCAGCTACTAGATGGTGCTGTGAATGGGAATGTCAGGCATGATATGGAGTCTACAGGCAAACCCACTACAGGGTTCTTCCTCCTCCTAAATTACTGGTGCAGGACTGCGACTGTGAATTGTTTTTTCTCACAATTCCTGGCCATTTCGGGCCTTTCGGCTAAAACAGCGTGGAATGTTAGAATGGTAGTTGTGCCTTTTTGGAACTTTTGAATTGCCTCTTGTACATGGACTCTGGAATCTCATGTATCGGCTTCTTCTACTGATAAATACTGTTGTGGGCAGCTGCACCCGGGTCTTTCTCATATTGAGAAGTCTGCAGCTTTTTAAAGCATAAATGAAGGCTGCAAATGGCTGCACCCTTCATGACTTGTGGTGGATCCCCTCTGCACAGCCACTACTAGAGGGGATCTTTTGCTATGTGTGTAGCATGACCACAATTAAACCAGAACTCTAGTTTAAAGAAGAGTTCTAAGTTGGTTTCGAAATGGAGTTCACTCCAGCAAGGAGTAGTTTGAGGAGATGTCTGGTCAGAAAAGTAAACCCCAGATCTGGCCTACAGTGCCTAAGCCACGGGTGTCAAACTGGCGGCCCTCCAGTTGTTGCCAAACTACAAGTCCCATGAGGCATTGCAACATTGACAGTTACAAGCATGACTCCCAAAGGAAGAGGCATGATGGGACTTGTAGTTTTGCAACAGCTGGAGGGTCGCCAATTTGACACCCCTGGCCTAAGGTATGAATTGCCGGTCTCTTCATTTATCTGTACTGGATAGTTACCTGACGGGAGCCTTGGCTTTGTTGGGAAAAAAATAAAAAAGATGTCAAGGATCTGGGTATAGTGTGAGCCTAGGATCCATTTGCTACAGCAAAACCGATACTTTCAATACTAAAACGGGCTGCAAGGTGTCTGCATTTTGATACCGTTACCTTTTTAGGCAGTTTTTTTTGGCCAGGTATATTGGTGGCAGCGTCCCAGAATTTATTCATCAACTCGGATAATATAATCCCACACTAGGGAATATTATGTAGAATGGTCAGACTTCATATGGAAGAGTAATATTTCAATCCTTAATGTTTGGAATGACAGCCAGCTCCACTCAGCCTTTTGTCCTCTCCTAAAACTGACCAATGTTATGCATTCTTACCTAGAAAGCTTTTCCTTAGAGTGAGGGTTAAAGCCTCTGTAGGTTCTATTGTTTTCATCCCTCTTCAGATTTTCCCTTCATTCATATTTTAGTGATAGAGGAGCGAGTGAAAGTCTCTCTATAAGAACCCTACAGCCAGCATTAAAGAGTGGGGGAGGGGCTGTTGGTACCTTTGCTTTATTGCTCTCCGTGTCTGGTCAGGAGAATTCTCACTTCCTTTCTACTCATGTGAAAGGTTTTTCCAAATGGGAAATGATACACCATACAGAGTGTCTAACCCTTTTTCCAATGCAGTTGGAAACAAATAGGTTTAGTGGTAGGAGGGCCGGTAACCGAAGGCCAACATAACAGCTGCCATTTACTGCACATGGGTAACCATTAATGTGGTTGTAAAGGCTCAAGGTTTTTTGCCTTCATATAGCCTCTTCATTGGCTGAGACTGCAGTGGGAGCAATTGGCTCCCACTGCTGTCAGTCACAGCCAGTGAGCCAATGAGGAAAGAGAGGGGGTGGGACTGAGATGTGGCTCTGTGTGTAAATAGACACACAGAGCAGTGACTCGGAAGTGAGCCTGCTTTGGTGCCTAGGCAAGAGGGAGGGGCAAAAGTGCCAGCTGAGGATCCGAGAAAAGGAGGATCAGGGCTGCTCTGCGCAGAACCAGTGCACAGAGCAGGAAAGTATGACATGTTTGTTGTGTTTGTTTTTTTTGTTTTTTTCTTTTTTTAAACTACCTTTTTAAGATCACTTTTTAAAATCCCCTTATTTATTTCCTGTAAATTTTTTTTGTGTTTAGAGCAGTGTTCTCCATACTGCGGCCAGGGGCTGGATGTGGCCCTTTGCTTGCCTTTATCTGGCCCTTGGAGTACTATTTCACCAACTGACACCAATGACGGGGAACCATTCCTTTTACTGACACATCATCAATGCAGCACTATTCTTCCCATTCATACCAACAAAAGGGCACTATTCCTCCTATTAAAACCAATGATGAGGCATTGATGCTGTCACATTTTCTACTCCCACTGGCCAAAGTCCGCCCCCCCCCCCGCAAAGCCTGAAGGGCAGTAAAATGGCCTTTTGCTTAGAAATGATGGAGACCCCTGTTTTAGAGCATTCACAGAGCTATTTACATGGCTTCCTGTACTCCAAAGGAGTTCCCAATCTTAACATTACAAACGCACAGATAGAAACGTTATGTATATTTAACAAGAAGATGTTATAAAAATACGTTCATTTATATATCAAGACATTAATGCTCAATTGCCACTCAAAATCCTGAATGTTTTTTATTAAAACGTAACACCACTGTTTTATTGCATTTAAAACAATATAATTACATTTGAAGGTTAAAGGATACCTGGCGTGACTTCTTCCTCAGGATCTATGGCAATGATCAGACCGTATGTCGGGAGATTTCTCGTGAGATTCTCTGGCACACATGGTAAGGCAGCCATGAAGGAGGAAGGGTTTGCCATGGGATCTCTGGACCAGAAGCACCAATGTAAGACTCACTCCTTGGTTGCCTTGTAGTTCCCTTCTTATGTATGTTGGGAGATTGCCATTAATTGTTTATCTGCCATGCTGTGGTCTGCTGAATGTGCTTCTCTCTGGTGTTGGATTAAGAGGTCCCATTTTGTCATTGTATTGGTAATCTGGGATTAGTTGCATACATATTGAAGTAACTGGTTATGGGATGAATATACAAAAGAGCGTAGCATACTATTCATTTACAGGCCAACTCCAGATATTCCTGATCAAGATTAGGAGAGTATAATGATTTAAGTTGCAGTTATCTCTGCCCTGATGCAGAGAGCTTTCACCCTTTTTTTTCATCTTTAGGACCACTTATAGACTGATGACTGAAAAGTGACCCCATGGGTTCCTGGAAACTTCAAAAATCTCTAAACTGGGGCATTGAGGGAAATGTTAAAACTGAACTTCAGTTTTAAAAGGTGCAGGGTCCATGGCTGTCATCTTAATCCTGCTCTTAGTATCGAATAAAGGACTTGGAACGGGCATGCACACTTTCTGACTTCATTTTTTTTTTTTTTCCAAAGCAACTACAGCCAAGGTTATAATGCAAGGATCAGGATGGACCCCTTTGAAACCAACACATGAGCAATAGCAGCTCACTTATTTATGACCTTGCAGGTTCGCTTTAGAGAAATCTACTACCACCTCAAAGGATTTACTTTTTTTTTTTTTTTTTTTTTATATGTATTTACATAGTGTTTGGCAGGCTATAGACGATGCAAATTTTTCTCAACCACGGGTGGGGGCTGGCGGGGGGTAGCCGTCCCTGCCGGGAGAAGACAGTGACTATTGCTAGCGGCCAGAGCAGCTGCTAGTGATAATCCCAATTAAAGCTGACGGGATGTTTGTACCCAAGTTGATCGATTAACTTGGTACATTCAGCTTGCTCATTCATGGTTTGAATCTCGGCCAGTCCCTGCTGAGCTGGCTGAGATTTGAACAGTCTATGGCCGGCCTTATGCAGGCCATAGACGGATTGTTTTTGTCAGCCGAATTTACGTCCGCACAAAAAAAAATCGGCCGATATTCACGCCGTTAGTGGGGCAATGCCGTCGGCCGTTTTTTGTGGATCTTCTGTTTCTTTTTATCGGTCATGCTGGAAAATCCACGAAAAAGTCTGTTTTTCGTAGACTGGTGGCAGCATTGGCAACGACCGATTTTTCGTTTATTGGCCGACAAATGGCCCGGCTATGGCTAGCCTTTGTCTCTTTGTGACCAAAGTATATTTGACTTTTCTCTGCTGCAAGAGGTAGATGGATAACACTGGACAATAGAGCGGGAATGAACTAAACTTTTCACTTCATTACATTTAATTATAAATAAAACGCCATGCATATAAAAATGTTACAAAAGTGGTCCAAAATCCTACATGAAAACCTCTGTGAATCATGAACATAATACATATAACAACACTGATGCATTGCAAATCTTCATGGGGAGGGATATGTCAAAAATTGAAACGTCGTATGTATTATTATGATGTTTATATGTTTTATGGTGGCTTTCATGTATGATCATGGACCAGTTTTCTATCTATGATGTTTTTATAGTTTAAATGTAATAAACTTAATTTTTTTAAATCTTGTGTACAGTTTTTGGTGCTGTTTAAAATCCATTCTCCATGCTACCCCCTCCATTTTGTCTATATATGGGATGTGGCACCATTTGTAACCAGATTGGACAACATTCTTCTAAGACCAACTTCACTGAAAACACATTTCACCTGTAATAGCTCACCTTTTTACAGGGTTCTGGAATTTCTTGTAAATACATTGGGAATTCTCTATGTTGCCAGTTTGCCACAGTGACCTCACTGGCATCTACAGCAAGGGAGGTGGAAGCTGGGTAAAAAACCAAGTTGTGTCTGGTGGGTTTTTTTTTTTTTTTTAAATAACATATTCCTTTTGATTTCTCTCCCCCCAAATTCCATTATGTTTTTGTTTGGGGCTGCAGTATATAAGACCTTGTATTTTTATCAAAGGTCTGTTTGCAGGTATTTAAAGGGAACCTGGAAGGTGGGGCTATGATCCCAATCACGATCTGGGGCAAGGATGCAAGACGAAAGGTCAGACTCCACATGCCTAGAGCAGTGACTATTGGGGATGGCAACTAGGTGTGGGAGTTCAGCCCCTGGTTCTACACCAATATAATATAACCTGTTTTAAAAACTGCCTCTTAATTCATGGAGTGGGGTCAGGTTTGCACTTTCAGTGACATGTTGCGTGTATTGCCTGC